GGGGCCTGGCCCCCGCCCCGCGGCAGGAAGTTCTTTGGCATCTTTTTACATTTCACCACTTCGATACGTTTCCATTAAGTTTTGTTTTTAAAAAGTCAACATAAAAAAAAAAAGAAAACCGTTCCCTTAGAGGCGGAGGCGACGCTCAGTGCCGCTGGCGCCACCGCCGGAGCACGCACGGCCCTTGGCACAGAGCAACCCGGCAAATTTCAGAGCACACGGGCAACTGGGAACCCCCAGGAGAGCCCCTCAGCTCCAGCTGCTCCGAAGTCCTTGGAGCTGGCAGCTGTGGGGTGTGCAGCACCCCTCCCTCAGTTCATAAACTGGGTGTACCCTTCCGCCCCCGTGACGATGACGTCCATCCAGATGCGCATGGCCTCCGCTGACGGTGCCACCATGTACGGTCGTGGGTCTTGACGCAGAATGTGAGCGCAGGGTTGGGGCTCTGGGGAGGAGAAGCAGGATGGGACACCGTAGTCCACTCTGAGCAGCAGCGTGCTCCCCCTTCTCCTCCCCAAAGCCCAACACCGGGGTCCTGCTGCCAGAACCCAGAAGAGACGGTGATGCAGAGGGTCCTGGCTCTCACCTTTGCCGCACTGCGGAGGTGGTCATAGTAAACCTCTTCAATAGCTTGGAAGTAGATGACGCCCTTCAGCTTTGTCTCGTGTTTATCTGTCCGAGAGAGGGAAGCAGTGTCAACCGTGATGCTGCAGGTGCTGGCACAGGGAGGGGGGGCTGGCACGGCGAGGGGCAGCAGAGCGACTCACCCACATAGTAGGAGAGCGTGCGCTTCATGCGATCAAAGACGAACCAGCGTACTTAATCTTGCCGCCCATCTTGACCAGGTAGCCCTTGCACATCTTCTCCGTCAGGATGATGTGGTAGCAGGTGTCCACGCTGTGGCCCGAGGACTCAATGTGCAGCCGCAGGTCAAAGTCCTCTTTACGGATGGGAAGGTACCGTGTCAGGGGACGAGCCTAGAAAAGCAACGCAGCCCTGCAAAGCCTACCAGCAATGGCGAGAGCCACATCTCCACACCGGGGCACCAGCCAGGCTGCGAGAGGGGAGCAACACCAGAGCTCCCCGCCCCAGCTCATCCCGCACCTGCGAGAAGTGCTTCTCCCGCAGCTTGACCTCCTT